TTTTTTCATAGCCCTCTCAAAATACAAGGGGCAAAGGTAAATAATTCCCTTAGCTAAAACTATTATTATTAAATCTATTATAAAGCTCTTAATATAGTTTTGCTGCTATTACATTTCTTGTAGTAGGGGTAGTGTTGAGAGGCAAGGAGAGGATCCTGAGTGCCCTAAAGGTTCGTCAAAAAGTTTATTTAAATAATTGTTATAGCACCTTAAAGTATATTCTTTCTTTTTAAAAAACACATTTTTTTAAACCCGCCAAAATTTTTAATTTCACACTATTTCCTGCCATCTTTTTAGTTCTGCAGTCTGCTACAAGTAGTATACCAATAACTAATTTTTTCTGCGTTAGTTTTACTCATATTGTTAAGAATGATGTAAATAAAATAATAAGAAGAGCCTATCACAAGGGACGTTCGAACGTGTACGCAAATGAATGGTCAATAGCATGAAAATTCTTTGTTAAACTCTGTAGCAGTTCTGCCCGAGCAGCCGAGCTAAACGGGCGTGTGAAACAGTGCTCCGGAGAAAGTGCGGCAACTGGGGAAGAGAAAACTACGAACGGTTACGCCTATAGCCAAACCCGTGGAAACCCGTGTCCTATATCAAGAAGACTAGCAAACCTACTATGGAAAATATTCCACCGATAAGAATCCGCCCTTTCGCCAACATCTTTCCTGCACGTCAGATTCTATCCGAATGTCACCAAGTGCGATTCGAACTTATTACTTGCTATTACAAGTTCAGTGTTACAATACATATTGTGTACCTGCGTTACAGAATAAATACCGTCATTCTGTAATTACGAGTTATTCCCTACCTGAATTCCAACATATGTTTAAAACGTCCAATCGCATCATCAATCGTATCAATGTCTTTTTCTTTCTGTGGCAGAATATTAAATGACTTTGTGAAGAAAACCATATTGAATTACATTTTATAATCAGAGTAAGCCAAATTATCGAATTGAAAAGGTAATAAGTTTCTTAAAGAACCTATTATCGGTAACTGAAAGTGGCTATAGTAAAGGTTGGCAATATAGATTGGCTGATATTCAATTGACAATAAATTGTTCGTGGTATAGAAGTACCCAATACATATGCTCCTGCTGAATTACTAATTGGGCGAAAAATAAATTTACCTTTAATAAAAGAAATGTCTGCAACTGATTTTGAACAGTTAGATTTAAATATTATACGTGACAAGACTAATGGTAATATTAAAAACAATGCAAATTATGGAAGAATTATGTTTGATGAACGAAAGTAAATTGTATAATATGAAATTTTTTGCTATTAATGGTCTATGTCTCGTAAAAATTAAAGATAGATACATAACAAAATTAGACATTTAAGAGCTCCACTTTATGGTGGTAACAGATTTGAGATGAGATTTATACGAAGTGCAAAATTTAATAAGCAAACATAAATTACGAAAAACAATGAAGGACGCTTAACTTTATGCTTCGTGGTTAAATTAATGATAATAATCCTTTTCAAAGTATTGTGATATTACCGAGGTAGATAGTGAAATGTAAGATCAAACTTTATCAAATGTATAATCACAAGGGATATAATAACAAAAGTAAATATAGAAACAAAGATTATAAAGCAAAGAACGAAAAGAAAGATTAAATTTGTAAGTGAAGAACTTCGACGAGCATATTTTTCCCGCACTGTTATCCTAGATCCAGCGTGAACCTTTTACACTTATATGATAATATTTACAATTCACTAAAAAAATAAAATTGTTATAGTTTCTAATGTTATTGCATAATGATAATAATGATAATAATTGTTACGACCGTTCGCGGAGAGACGCGGTCGCTAGGAAAACGCGTCAGCGAGAGGCGTAAATTCTCGCTACGATTCGGTTAATCGATGCCGCGAAATAGTCGTTCCCCTGTTTCGGTTAAGATAACAGAGGTAGTTCAATGAATGTAACACTGTATAGTAAGTTATATATCACCGTTTATTCTAACAACTTGTAAAGAAGACAGTTACGCTGGTGCGTATGCATAAGATGAGTGAGTGACTGATCTACGGGTGTATTCCCAGTCAAAGGATGTTGACTGTACGAAGGATGGAAAATCAGTGGTGTTCGGAGACGATGCTATGGCGGAGGAAAACTAAGGATGGGTGTGTCTAGCACATTATGTACGAGATGAGTGAGTGACTGATCAAGGATGTGACGAAGGATGTAAAATCAGTGCTGTTCGGAGACGATGCTGTGGCGAAGGAAAACTAAGGATGGGTGTGTCTAGCGCACGGGGCCATCGGATTTGTTGGTGACGATTTTGGCTAAGAGAGTGAAGGAAATAGACTTCGTTGTTAATTGGTTAAACGAAGGTTGGTGGACTAGGAAGAGTCTTAGCCGCCCTCGATAGAAAGTGGTTAGTAGGAGGAAAATTGCATCGTACGTGAGAAAAACTAACTTTCCCTTGTCAAGCCGTAGTAGACAATAGTCTTTAGAAATGATTCGAAAACAGACGTTTGTTGGGTCTGAAGGACCTTAGCTAGCGAATTACTGGGATTTATGACGGGTCCTTAAGAATATTGAGGGTACGCAGTAAGGACCCGAAGACATCTGCTTGCAATCTTGCCCGCGGTGTGTAGCCTGGTCTAGGTAGAGTGTCGCCCGACGTAACATAATAATAATAATAATAAAAAAAGAAGAAAAATACATAATACATAATAATATATCTTAGAAAGTAATAAACATGTAATATTTCCATATATTAGAATTAATATCCCCCGCTGTTTGAGGATTAATTGGATAGTTTGAAATCTTTTAAAATTACAATTGCATTATTATCGACCTCATATAGTATTAAAATTTAGACTAAAAGGGAATTGTGATATTTTTTCTTGCGTCTATTCTTTACTGATAATTTTAACCCTAACAGCTTTTATAAAATCGTATTTCAAAATAAAATTATTACTTTCGATCTCAGTCTATCCTATATATAATATTTTACGAAAAAATGTTTATCTCATTGATTAATATCATTTTATATCTTTGTGTGTCTTTAAGATATATAATACAATAAAAAAAGTAATAGACAAATGTAACAAAGTATGTACTATTAAAAAATATATGAAATATCTAGGGTAATATTATTACCGTTTATTATTGATTTTTGGTATCTACTTCATACTATAATAAATTATAAAATATCTAATTATTTTGAAGATAATAAAAAATTTTTATCATTATAAACATTAATTAAAAAAAACGATACCTTTATCAAAATGATGCCAACCACCAGGAAAATAATCTTTCACTACTTGTGGTATGTCATATTCTTCAAGTAGCTTATCAATTTGATGTTTCTTCCTCCAATGTAATGTCTGTGTTAGCATTTCCTTTGCCTTCTCAACTGAAAATTCAGTAGCCCTTAAAAATCTTAGAAGAGTCGCATCTCCAGGTATTGAACTTCCCCTTAATTCCTTTATGCTTTGTCTCAACTGAATAAGTTTGCTTTCTTGCATCATGTCAAGCTTTCCTAAGTACCTTTCTATGTAATCTGAAGATAACTGCATTTCTAAAATACAAAGTATATGTAGCAAGTTTTAATAACTTAAATTAATATATTTAAATATTTATATCAGGAATAACTAATTCAGCAAATGGCTTTGTTTTAATATATTAATATACCATCTCTTAATCTCCTAAAGCATCCAAAAGAAGCTCAAAAAACGTCTATAAGATTTTAAACAAACGAATTAAATATTAATCAATACGGACACAAAAAGAAACAAAAGAGGTACACTTGATGTTATTAGTTCTCTGTAGGTGAATGTAGAATAATATATACAGTAACTACAGGATATGTGATAGATAAAGGAATAAAATGATCGATAGTGAATAGAGAAGGAACATTGGTAGTTCTGAAATGCTTCCCTTAAACAAGAAGATGTTGTAGCAAAAATGAAACTAAACAATATAAATCTCCTAACATGCCATGAAATGTAAAAAGACCAACTCCCCACATAGCTTACCTAAACCAACCCTTCTAAAAACCCTTCTCTCCTGACACAATCTTGCAACAAATGAAAAAGAAACAGGAATACTGCATTCCAGAATCTATTGGGAGAAATATAATTTCAAACAAGCTTGGGTATTATATTCAAATAATAGATTTGGATGATAAGGTAAGAATAAGAAGGTAAAGAGACAAAAAAGTAGGTATTGAAAGAGAAAAGTAAATAGGAGGCAGAAGTTAGAAAAAGAGCAAAAATAAGTAGTAGATGGAAGTAAGGTAGAATCGCGATAAATAAAAAATAGAATAAGGAAGAAGAAAATGAAGTGGGAAAGGGAAGAAGGTAGAAGAAACTGATGGCGAAGCGAGTGGTGATAAAAGCGATAAAGTTATAAACATTGCGAACACAATAGTAATGTAATAGTTGTACAAATCGTAAATATTGCGTAAATGCGAATAATGGAGTCTAGTCTTAAGTTAGATATAAATACGTTAGTTCAAGTTGTATATAGAAACGGAAGTTCTTGTAAACTCTAAGGGAACAAAATTAAAAACAATGATTTCCGTAGTTCCAAGACTATTCAAATATAAAGAAAGTTTTTTGGAATATAATGTACTATTACCATCTTCACCTGTAAGGAAATTATTTTCATTTGTTACAATGGTAAATTTACCATAATTTTACGTTTAATGGCTTATAGAAAACTCTCCATTTATTCAAAAGGATCACTACTTGTCGCAATTTTTATATATCTTCTTCCAAATTGTATTGATTTTGTCTCATGCGTGAATAATCTCATTTAAGTAAAATAATTAATAAAATTAAATTTACAAAGTTTTAACGACCATACATTTTTTGTTTACAGTTATTTCTTATCAAATTTTAATTGTATTAAGATCTACATTCTTTCTAACATTTTTTTTCAAAGCCATTAGCTAAATTTATAAATATTACATATAATAATATAGAAAAATATAACATACCTCTATTTTGTAATTTGTTGTCCGCACAAGAATAAGTTTCTTCTGGAACAAGAGATTCTTGGCTTTTTGCAATATCTCTAAACATAAAAAATAATAAATGCATAAAACCGCGAACATATCGAGCAGTAAGCGAAAAAATAAACGATGGTACAACCAATGCCAATGCTCCAAATGTCAATTTTGCCGCTTACCGCTTACTGTCCTCTGGTGGTTCTATGTTCACAGCCTAGTAATATTATGTAATCTCGAAATATCAATAAACAAATGCTAAAAAGAAGGATAGCAAAAATATTTTTTGTTTCGCTTGTACAGAGCTTCAAAAATCGCCCGAAATTCATGCTTCTAGACCAGAATACCCCCTTAACTTAAATACATATATCTTGCTAATTCAAATTAAATATGAATAGTCAAACAACTGTTCGAGGTTTCATTGTACACATAATCGTCATCTATTATTAGATAATACGTTTTAAAATATAAAATATAAAAAAAATATATTTAAGATATAAAGATATTTTATCCATCTCGTTCTTAAGATTACTCGTGCAATCCCCCATCCTGTCTGCTAGAGATCACAACGTTCAGAATTAAAAAAGAAGAGCATTGGAGCATTGCACTGTCCACAAATCAAACAGTAAACTTTAGTTAATAAGTTAAAGCGTTTCAGTATCCATAAATTGAACAAGTATTTTTTTTTTATTTATTTATTAAAATTACAATCAATTCTCGCGTTGAGAATTTTCAGTAATAACAAGTATTTTTGAGAAATGAAAGCAAAAATTAATTTAAATTGTGAATCTAGTGGTTAATACCTTCTCGTCGGCGACTAAATAGAACATAACACCTATAAAAGAGGGAAACGAGGAAAGCTCGACACACAGAAAGTCGCAAGTGAGCAGTCAAGTCGAGTCGACGGTGAGTACCAGGCAACAATCCGAGTCCAGTCCAGGTAACACGCGCCAGTAACAAGCCCCCCCCGTAACTTTAATAAACGCCATTGATACATTAATACGTCAAGTATTCATTTCACATTCTACACCTCAATAGAAAATTGTTTCACATGTCTCACGTTAAATCAAAATCAGACAAAATGGGCGAGGAGTATAAAGCTATCCAATATTTATGCGACGCCTAGAGAAAAAGGTTAGAAATCAAAATTTCTGAAGCAACTTTTAGTCCTTCCTAAGTCCTATTCTACTCTAAGATCCTATTTATGTGTGGCTTCGGTGTTAGTAAAATATATACATGTAGTATCGTGGACGAAAGGCCTAAGAGATATCGGGCGAACCATAAACAATGTCGCGAGAGCCGAGGCACCGTCGGGCCCATCATAGTGTCGTCGGTCTTTTCAAGTGCATAGTTCGTAGAAAAGACCTACGTGACCCTGGCCACGAGCGTCTGCAGAACACGTGTGCGGTGGGCCT